TGGTGGCCACGCTGTTCTCTTCCCTGGCAAGCCTGGCTGGTGCCATGTCCTGGGCTGCCCCTGAGGAGATGTGCAGGATTCTACACCAAGGGCACCTCAGAGAATGCACACAAGCAGGTGGGATGTGCATTTGACTATTCCTGGTCCCAGTAGCAGTAGCAATATTGAGGCGTTTCTGAGCACCTGGACACAGTGAACACCCTGGACATTAGTTTGATTACGGGGGTTCTTGAAGGGAATGTGCATTGCCAGTGAGTTTTTCATGCCCCTTACTTAGTTTTCTTCAGGTTTTTCCCTAATGCTATGGTTCCTCAGTTTAGATTGGTAATAACATGTCAGTGTTCTTTTAAAAGTGTCTCTGATCCTTCTGCTCAAAGGTATGAGGGGGGCTGGAGCCACCCAGCCAAAGCAGTACTGGGTTGTTTTAAGACAGCCAATATGTGCCTGAGTACACAGGCAGCCATGGCCAACTCTGACCTTTGCTATGCCTTGGTTCTGCACCGAATCACCACCAGAACCAAACACTGTTTGCTGTGTGCATGCCTCTCTGTGTACTTTATGGAAGTACTTTAGGGACTTTTGTTTCTGGTAGGCAGTAGCTGATCAATACATTGAAAGTAATCAGAGGTGCAGTGACAGTTCCACCAAAAGACGTTGAACTTTCATATGTTCTCAAAGATGACCAGAAGCATTTATAAGTAAAAATGTTACTTAGAGAGAACCATGACTTAGAACTGGCTCCGTAGGGACCTTAACACAAACACAGCCTTGGGTCTTGGCCTTGTGTCAGTGTCTGCAATAAGAGTCTGAGTAATTTACCCAAGATCCCATAGCGAGATAGCAGAATCAGAACTATGATTTGGGGGTTATTGAACTCTGGTGCAGGATTTCCTCTCCTCCAGTTTTCATTTTTCTTCTGGGCTCCTGCAAATACAGAGTATCCAAGCTCTTTGGAACTTTGCTTAGAGGAAGAATGTTAATCAAAGACAACCCTTGGGACCTGGTACAGGTGTTTTGAATGTATTCATTCATGAGCAGATTTGTATAAAGAGAATTTTTACATTTAAGAATTCAAATTTGGTTTAATGTGGTTCTCAGTTGTAGTGTCTTAAAACCACTGAAAATGTGACCTTTAGCTGACCCATGACTATCCAAATTGACACCAGAAGGAGCCACAAACTGGCTTCATTGTGAAATTAATGGATTCCTCTTCTGTGATAGATATGGCGAAACAAACTACAGATTTAAAAGCCATCTCTTTGGGAACTGCATCATATCAGAATTGAATAAATATATGCATAGTTCCAGGAATCTTCTAATGGAGCCTCTGGGCTTTGATTTTTACATCTGCTTTTCTGTAGTTTTGTAGCTCACTTCATGCACTAGCCATTCAATATATATTTTATATTGCTACAATAGTTTGCCCATTTATTTTTTAATGACAAAAATCACATCTGTGTTGGAAGTATTTGTATAACTAAGGGCCTGCAGTGGTAAGTGAAGGCAGCTCTCCTCTAGAGCAATACAGATTGCCAGGCCTGGAACATCAAAGGGAAGCAGTGAGACACTAAAACATTTCCAAATTCAGTCAGTTCTTTGTGGTGAGGGTGAGAGAAGTAATTGTAAAAACAGGACAACTAAAATCAAAATGAACTATTAAAAAAATTACTGTTATTATAATTTTTTGCAGTAGAGCAAAGATTTACTGGAAAGTTGTGGCAAACATACCATTAATAAAACACATAAATACTCAGTAACCTAAGGGAGAGCTGTTTCACACTCTCAGAAACAGCTTTAGCAGAAATGTACTCTAATGGAATATCCATTGTAACAGGTAAAAGGGAAACTCACCTTCTCAAAGATTAGTTCATTTTTTAACATGTTGGCCCTTTAGTGTCTACATAATCTGTTCCATACAAGATTTTTTTTTATATTTATGGGGAAAGTGGAGTCTGAATGTCAAAGGCTTCTAATCTTTATTGTTAAAGGGCTCGAACTTCAGTCAGTTCCATTTATGTTGCTGCAGACATCTGCAGGAAGTGTGAGCCAAGGTATCCACTTACCAATGACCACTGGTAGCACATGGAAAAGACATTTAGATCCCTAAAGTAACACAGAGGTGCACAAGGAGTTCTTCGACCTACACATCTCCCTAATTTCTGAAAGTGGTGAGTTCAGGAAATGACCAGCACCTGGTCTGTTATAAAATGGATCCTACTGAAATAAAATGAGGGTACTAATCCAGAAGACATAGATAAAGGGAGGGGTGTTTGATGTGAACACTGGGGCCACTCTAGGCTAATGGTAAGAGCAAAAGGCTTCAGAGAGGTGTTTCCCATGGCAAAACAGGAGCCAAGGCTTGAACCTCATCCCAAACCTCTCTGGAAGCTCAGCTGTGCTACCAACAATCTGCATGGATCCCTCTGCACAGATAACTTTAAAGTGCACATCAAGGCACATCTCTCCTCTAAAGCACTGCTGAAAACCTTGGAAATCAAACTACTCCTTAAAATGTACTTTTAAGCAAATTTTGGAAGATACTATTGCAAGATAAACAGAGGGTGCAATATGCTGTGTTTAACTTGCATCTCTCAATCCTGATATTTCTTTGTAGCATAAAGCTCCCCAGATCAGGTTATACATTAGGCATTGTAAAACTCTAGTAGTGAAAACAAACATTGTTTCCAGAGTCATCTGTTTGCAATTTTTCTTGATTACTCTTCCAATAGATTTCAAGCTGTGGATTGAAAGATTTAATGCTCACATGGATAGAATTTGTTCCTTTTCTAATGATAACTTTTAGTCACATTACTCAGTCTTAAGTCAGCCTGCCTTTTACTTTTGTCAAGACAAACTATTTTGGTGTCTTAAATCATATTGTCATGATTGTCCTCAGCAATCTGTCACAGCAGTTATTTTTGCCTGGCTGTTCTGACAATCCTAAAAACAGCATTTGAGTACATGTGATGGATGGTGCCAGTGGGGGATCAATGTAGGGATGACATAAAGGAGAAGGATCTGTAGATGAACTTGGCTTCCAGGCATTACAAGAATTTTGGACGTAGGGAGAATCAGAATCAGCAGAATGGTGTCCCCAACAGCAGGCACAGCAACAAGGAGCCATTTATTGTAAAGGACAGGGAATGGGATGAGCTCTGTTCTGGGGATGGGAACAGTCAATGGAGGAGGACACAGCCCCTCCCAGCTTTGGTGCCCTCTCAGACTGCCACTGCCAGACTGCCACTGCCAGACTCTCGGTGGCTGTCACAAGGCACAGACAAGGAGGGGAGGTGCAGGTGGTGATGGAGACCTTGCTCCATGGCACTTCCCCTCTCCTGCTGATGAGGTTACCTGAAGGGCTTTGCTGTGAGCCCTAAGCTCCTTGTAATTCTTTCTGGGAACACAAGGTACAAAATGGGCCTCTCCTCTCCCTCACAGTCCTTTGTATGGGGGCTGCACTCACAACTCTTCTCTTCCTCTTCTGTTGAGGATAAAAATTTAAATTCTCCCAAAGCTCCTTTCTAGATTGTTTTCTCTGCTTTTGGTCATTTATTGTTTATATGGCTATTAACAACACAAAACTGAACTTTTAGTACTGGGAATTAGAATGAATGCTATGGAACTATGACAGAATTATAGCAGATTTGTACACATATGGTTTTACATTGATTAGAGTAAGAACTGGAACTAATTTGTTGTTACAAAAGTAAAAGTACAAATGTCCAGAAAATAATATCCCAGAACAAAAATGATTCTGAGGATATCTAACTATGCTAACATTACATGTTGAAAGATGAAAGAGCCTTTAATTCTAACTTTTGCAAATAATCCTTTTATGATTTATCAGATTTTAAGAGTTGTTTCTTAATTAAAAACATATATTAGTTGTATATGAGTTTATTTCTATGTATAACTTTTGAAGAATTATACTTCAGATTAGCTTAACACCTTCTAGTACAAATTACAAATTAGGTAAAGTGAGTCAATGAGCAATGTTACTTGTGACATTTTCTATAAACATGAAGTTAGGTAAAAACTGTCTCATGGTTGTTAACTGTTCCCAGATGGAACAATGATAGTTCAAAGCTAGAATCCCGCACACAACACTTTCAGGTAAATTCTGTGGTTTATAGGTTTATTTGGAAATATCTACAGTTAACTTTTCCCTCTTCTGAGCTTGATACAACCTTATTTTTCATTTTTGTTCTTTTGCTGTATTCACAACAGTCTGATTTTTACATTAACTGGCACATTGGCACCAGAGTCCCAAAACCAAACCACTTCAAAGTGGAATTTATATAGAAAAAAATAGGATTTCTCTTTCCTAAGGAGAAAACACAACAGTAACATCTGTAGCCCACCACTTAAGGGCTAAATCTGCCTCCATGTCCAGAAAGAACCCATTTAGAATTTTTTTTTTTTTGGTGATTGTTTAAAATTAAATTAAAGCATTTGGGACTGGGGAAGGTGTGAATCCATCGTCAAATGCAACATTTAAATTGAATTCACATGGGGGAAAACAGGAGAATTCCAAACACAGGCTGAGCAGGTTGTGTAAAAGCTGAGTTGAGGAGGCTCTGGAGGCTTGCTCAGCACTGGGAAGTGTTTGGGACTGGAGCTGAACGCTGGAGACATTTTCCACAAAAAGGACAAATAACTATTGTCTTGTTTGTCCCAGGGCTGGGGGACAGCTGAGAGTTACATTTATAGCAAATGGGACACAAAATTGAAACATCACTTTTTATGCATAATTACTACCAGAATTTGTTATTCTGTTTTCCTACTCAATTCCCAGACTGACAGGAGAATTATCAAACTCTTAAAGGCAGCAAGCTGTGTGACCTGGGTGGAGGGATTCGAGGGGGGGGAAATTCCCAGGTTTTGGTCATTAAAAGAACATTAGGAACATTAAGCAATCTTCATAACAAAGCCTGATTCTTTTTTAAAAACCCAAAACTATAAAATGTCTTTTAAAAAAGAATATGGAAAACTAGTAAGTGTAGTGGTTTTATACAATAAATAATCTATATTCTATAAATGTACAAAATCAGTTACACAGCAAGTAAGAAACTGATACAAATGCAATAACTGAAAGATATATTTAATTTTATAACTGTAATAATTTATTTATGAAATATATCCACATATATATAAAATATATCATATGTTTTGGCAAAGACCTCCCTTTCTTGTTTTGAACAAAAACTATTATCACTGGTTTAAGCCCTATATAGATATTTTTACTGTTGATTTCTTTTCACTTTTCTTTTGGTCTCCATGTTTCTTTTTCTAAAATATAATTTAACACCATTGGTTTATAGTTTAACCTTTGTGCCCCGGGGAAAGCCTGCGTAAAGGTCGTAAACCCCAAAAAAATTTGTAGTGTCACAAGTAAGGGATTTCCTCTCTTTTTAAATAATATAGAACAAGATTTGCAAAAGTTACTCTTTTTTCTTTGCTTACTCTTGCATCCTTGTATCAAAAACAAGTCCATAATTTCTGAAGAAATTGTTTACACTGAAAAACGTCCAGGGTTGGATTTAACCCTTATTGCCAAGTTTCTGGGTTATTTGGTGCTGGTGTTTCAATGGAGAGATAAAGGTGAGATTTGTAGCACTGGCAAAGCCCAGGGGATGTGCTGTGGGTGTGACCTGCAGGGGCCTGGGACAGCAAATGGCCAGCACAGAAATTACTCTGATGGCATCAAGTTCCACAGTCCTACCCTTGCATCTGTAGGAAAATTCTTTGGGATGAATCACTGCAGTTCTTTTCACCAACTACAGTGCATCCCCAAATAATCACTGTGTGTTTGAATGGAACTTCCAAGTGCAGGAATAACTTGTGCCTAAATTAGGTAATCTATTGAATACTCAATGTATACTCTTAACTTGCTATAGTTTATAGTAATATTTATATTAGCCATTCATATTTATTCTGCATAGATACTGTCATTTAAACATCTGCCACGAAGTTACAATATGATGATTCAGGCTTGCATACATTAACAAGAGAAATACTTTGTATCTGTTTATTCTTAATGAGAACTGATGTAGAGGCAATCTCCCTCTAACTCTCCACATTTTCCACTTGCAGCTGCCTGCACAGAGCTGTGGATGGATTCTTCAGACACAGAGCAAGCAGTGAGTGGAACAGTTTCTATTGTTCTTGTTTAAATCACAGAGAAAAACGTTTCCTGAAGCTCTGCATTGCTGAAGTTTGGGTCTGCCTTTGAAGTTTTCCTCAATAGTGATACATTCCCTGCCAGGTTACATGATAAAGATTATCCTTTTCTGAGGCTCTCTCGAGGGGAGAAAAGCTTCTTCATACAGGTTCCCGTGCCCTCAGAGTGGCACTGCTTAAATGGAAGTGTTGCCTGCTGCTGAATTCTCCACTGGCATCACACTGAAGCATCAAGTTTGTCCATCTCAAGGGAGAGTTGTAGTTTAAGTTCTTGTTTCTGAGCTCCAGCAAATAAATGTTAAAGCTTTAAAGAAAACACACCAACAAACAAATACAGCCAAACTGTTAAATATTCAGCAATAAGTCCCTGTTACCTGAGATAATTGTGGTTGCCCCCCTGGTTATGTGTACAGAATGAGCTCTATACAGTTCTCTAATTAGCTCTGCTCAAATAATCACAGCAATAAATACAGCTTGGAGACTTGCAATCCAAGGGCTCCCCCTCATACCAAAAAAATGTGGGGTATTGGTGTGACTTTTTTGAAAGTGGCAGTATTTGAAACTGGCTACTGGGTCACAGTAACCTCCTCATATCTGACATCAAAAGCAGATTTACTTTTCCCTCCAGATACTTCTTCCTCAAAGTTTTTCCTCTTTCTTTACCTTAACACTTCAACTTTTACTGGAGCACTGCACTGGGATGTGTAGCTTAATTTGCTGCAGTGCTAAATGAGGAAAAACATGATAGACAGGAGCAGCCCTTGTCCTAAAAAAAAGCCAAAATATGTATTGGCTTATAGCCAAATAATCCAACTTTTGAAAGAGTTACATCAGCAGAAGAAAGGTTGTAGCAGTTCTGTGTATAGCAAAGTTAATTTTAAAAATTAATTTAGAAAAAAAAACCCAAACAACTCATGGGCCAAATTCTGTCCTTAATTTAGGAAAGAGTGATAATATTCAGTTGCAAGAATTAAGGGTTCTGCAAGTACAAAGATCATTTATGGAAAGTGAATATTTATTTTTAACATTAAGCATCTGTAACATACCTGATTGTTCAGAATCCTCCGGACTCTCTGTGCTACTGAACAAAATTGTGCTCCTCTTCCCTGTGTTGGTCTTTCTCCTCTGCCTTTTTCATCGATCCATGATTTCTGTAGAATAGAGATTACCAAAACTTGTCACTGTGTTCTCATCAATGTCCCCATAGACTAAATGACAATTTCATGCTCTTTGTTAGACTGCATAAAACATGCTAGAACAGTGCAATGTTCAGCATGTTCCTAACTGGACAGATCTGCTGTTTCAAAATCACCACATCATAAAAAGAAACAGAAAAAAGAAAATTCCAAGCAGTACTGGCTGGCTCTGGCCTCTTTCCTTCACTTATTAAACTCTGATATGACACAGGAGTTTTCTTGCTTTTTTCTTCCTGTTCACTCCCCCAGTCCACTGCAGGGGAAGTGAACAAGCATCAGTGCTTGGCTGTTGGCCATGGTTAACCCACCGCTACTGCAGAGGGGAGTTTCATTTAAAATCAATACCTTCAATCAGTTCCTCTTGATAAATGCATCTTGATTAATTTATCTCCATGAAATGGCCTCATCATGTGGCCATGTTGCAGTGACTGGGAAAGACACTCACCTCCTTCTGTCCTGCATTCTTCTGCAAAACTGCAAACACTGCTTGTCGTGAGCGTCCGTGCAGGAACATCGGAGCGAGGGCTGGGGAGAGCTCTGAGTCTGGCCTGTGGATCTTTTGCCTCTGAAGCTGCCTCTGTAGTTGGACAGTCCATATGGCACAGTCCTCCTGTTGTGAGAACCACACAGGAAGCAATTAAAATTATGTTCCACCTCTCTTCTATTTTACTGAAGAGATCTATTGAAGAGATCTGGATTGAAAGCAATAAATAGTGGCAGAAAAATCAAACCTTATGCTCCTGTAAGTTCTCCCTGTACTAGATCATAACTTCTGCTCCATCAACTCAGACTTTCACCAAGTTATAAATTAGCAGTTAGCTCTACTACCAGGATTAATTGGCAGCTACCCTATTAAAAAAAAAAGTGCAATACCTAAGAGATTATGCAAATACATCCCCAGGTTATTGTTTATTTTACTCCTTATTCCTGCGTTGTGCTGGTTTCCCCAGCCAATGCACAAAACCTGTTACATTCAGTGCCTTGGCTGGTCTGAAGTCACAGAGGAGCTGTGCTGATTTCACCAGATCATTAACATTGTGTAGCTGTCATATAGTTCATAGTTCTGAGCCTGATTCTATTAATTTTATCATTGAGAAATTGAGAAAACTGTCAGCATAATTCATTTACTGCATCATGTTTGGAACATGACCCCTGGAGTTACAAATGCAATAAACTCCCAGAAAATCCTCCTTGCATGGTTCTGCCTTTCTGTGAGAGATCTTATTCTGTGCTGCAGCACACCAAGAATAGTACCTCTCTTTATTTCCCTGCATGAGTTTCTCTTTAATGGGTTATAGTCAATATTGTTATCAGAAAAGGACATGGTTCATCCTGCCTGCTAAAAGTCTTGGATAATTTGGCTTGATGTCATAAATTACTCTCCTCCAAGCTGTTAAAGAATCTCAATCAACAGCAGCTGTACTCCCCATGAAACTTCTGGAGACTCTCAAAAGTTCCTGAGTACTTGAGGGATGGGCTAAGCAAGCCACAAATCCACAAACACTAAAAATCTGAAGAGAATTTCATGTTCAAAAGCATCAAAGAGGAGGGGAGGAGTGGAAAAAAAATAAAAGAAAAAGGCAGGGAAGAGGAAGTCCAAGTGAGTCTAGAAAGGTTAAAGAAAGGTTACAGAACAAAGCCTGAGTAATGAGTCTGGAACTACTACCTTCACATAGCTCTGCTTCTTTCATTTGCTTTCATAAAAACATCATTAGGCTGCTAATGGGAAAGCTGCAAATTTTCCATTTTCCCACACACATGGTGGGCTGAAAGGTTCAGAAACATTATTCTTCTAATCTCTGCAATAATTTTTGATGCAACACCAGTACAGTTGATGCAAATTATTTATTCAAGCCTCTGCAGATGTAGTACATTTGTAACAGTGCACCTTGTCTTTCACAGCCTCAACCTGTCAGAGTTAGGCTGATCATAAAATCATCCTGAGAGAGAGAGAAAATCACAAGCAACACTTCTGTGTTCAGAGCCCAGGGAATGGTTTTTCTCCAGCAGATCCTGGTCTGCCTCCATGCAGAAAATGTTCCTTATTTTCCCCACTTTACTTCTATGCCAAGGACACCAGGAGAGACCAAGAATGACCATATTTGTCTTAAAGGACTTTAGGACTTGATTTTGGCCTCCCTTCTCAAACCATCATTTAAAAAGCTTTTTGTTGTCTTTAGGATTAGGAGCAAGTCCCATTTTATAATTTAAGAGTATTAATAATTCTATACTGACATCTGACTTACAATAATGAATGTGAAATGGCTACATTCCCCACATGGGAACTTCTGACATAAAAAATTGCTCCATGGACACGTTTTTTACACATTCATGTTTTTTATAAAGTAAGAACTGATATTTAGAGGCAGGAGTAGGGGATAGTTCCTCTATTTTTAACAGTGGCAAACCCTCTATGAAAACTGTCTGGTAAAATTCTGTTTTTCAACTTCCTGCTCCAACTGAGACTGAAATGGAAAGATGAATTTTATGTGTTTAGACAATGTGAGAGCCCTGTTTAACAATAGATAGTTTGCCAGGGCATAAAGAAGATTCTTGCAGCTTTTGCAGATGTCATCCTACATTATGCTAACAAGACATAAAACACTGTAATATGTTATTCTCATTATTTAAAGTGGTTCCTTGTTCAAAAGTTCAATCTTTCAAAATATAATACTGTGATTTTTTACTCTAAAGTTAAGCTTTTCCAAAAGATCTGTGGGACTGAGTCACAGTTTGCCCTGAATCAGAGGCTCTGCCTGAATAGTCAGAGAGAAAGAAGGACATGAGTTTTATTCTTAACTGCTGCAATTGGCAAATTAATGGACCAACCAGAATTGTCATCAACTTTTGATTTTATCTCAATCCATCCATGTGAACTCCAGTGACTGAGGGAAGGGCCCATTACCAATCTGCTGCCTTTCCTAAGAGACAGTAAATTCCAACAAACAGGGAGGAGTGGAGAATATAATTATAATTACAAGTGATAAGAGCCATGAATCACAGCCTTAAGCAAAGGAGGAAAGTGATCTTTTAGATACTTCTTCTGATCTAATTAAGTACATTATGCTTCATAGCTTAGAAAATGTATTCAAGGCTACTTCATTTTCAGTGGACCAGCAACATGTGCCAATGCAATGACATTTTAAAGTGTTTCAAGTTTAGAAGACTTTAAACCAGAATGAAGTAAAGTTTTTATGTAAGGTAATGTGCAGATTTGCCAGAGATAGAAATACAATAATCCAAATACACCTGGTTTTGGCTTCTAATCCAAAGATTCAAATTCAAACATTTCAAAAGCAACTCAAAGTCTTTCCAACAATAATCATGAAGAGCTTGATGAATTTATCTGCTCAGAGCACTTGGTGTCCCCTCAGTGAAGATAAGGATCAACTGGAGTAGGGCAGAGGCAGAACTGGGGGGATCCTGAACTACCAGTTCCTTACACTGTCCTTTATGACCCAGTCCCTGGACAAAGTATTTGCTAAGCCATTTACTTTTTTTTTTTTTTTTAATTTCTCTGCAGCATCACAGGTTTTTAATTAATTCATTTTTAATTAAGGTTTACATTTCACAAGAAAATTTGAATTCCTGACTTTTAACTCAGTATGTAGCATTTCTTCCTTTAGGAGAATGAAATTCTCCTGAAGTAAATTAATATGAGTTTAAGATACAGTTACAGCTAAGGTGTGCTGTGAGCCCTTTATGTCTTTCTTCTCTATGAAGTGGAGAATTAGCAAACCTAGACATTTCTGAACCAGCCTTTCCAAGGTACTTCTTTGAACAGATATCTGATTGGCAACATCCAAATCTGTGATTTCTGAGGAATTACACTCTTTTGGGAGGTTCAGTATGATTACTCCAGCCAGCCAGTGGGTGCATAAAGGTCTGCATGCTCAGTTCTTAAGCATTTTCTAACAAAGAGGAGGTCTGAGTTTAAGGAAATAATTGTTTCTTCAGTATAAGCTGTTTGTTTTTACTCTGTATGCAAAAAAAAAACCCAACAAAACTATCACAACTCTCCAGTACTTGCAATTATTCCCCTTGTTGTAATTGTGATTAGTCAGTGCAACAGATAATGAACCGAAGATAATCTCATGTATAACAAAGCAGCACAGAACTAACCAAAGCACAGTGTGTTCTTGTCAGATTGGATATCAAAGGCTGAAATAACCCAGATTATTTGTGTACTTTGTGTCCACAAAACACAATCAGAAAAGCTCTCCTCCTAAAAGCCAGCTAGCTCTTGGAGGAAGGTTTTGCCATTAAATTAACAGAAATAGGCATTTGTTTGTTGAAAAAAGACAGGAAGTACCAAGTGATTTTTCCACTGAACAGCCATTCTGAAACAGTGAAAATCTTCCACAGAAGAAAACTGCCTGTTGAAGGATTAATACCTTCAGGCTGAACTGGGAAGTAAGATTTTCCTGAGTCCTGCTGTCCCCCACTCACAATGAAGGCTCACAATTCAGGCAGACAAATCTAATTGGTTAATTTTCATTTTATAACATGTGGTTGAGTTTCTCATGCTATGTTATAATTGATCTAGGAGCTGCTATTATTTTCTATTTTCCCAGCCACTTAAACACAGTAGATACCTCCAGGGCACTGGAGAGTTTCAGCCAAAACAAAGGGATGAGGGGGTTGAAGCAATCATCTTAGATGCTGTTATTTCAGGATTCAGCAATATATTTTCTGGTACACATCCAGGCCAGCAAGGCTCCCAACAGTCTCCAGTGTTTTCAGACAATCCCAAAATGTATGGAATCCCTGTAAGAACCATTGAGAGCAAAGAACACAGAAAGGAAGCAAAATTTACCATCCTCCAAGTGAGACAAAATGTCCCCAGAATGAAGGATGATGCTTGGGGAAATTAGAGCTGTTTCTGTGTATATTTTAATATAAAGGCACTGCAGTAGCACTGTGTAGCTTTACAGATGAAGAGCTCATTGGCTGCTCTGGAAGTTGGCTCCAGCTCTTCCTGTAACAGGTGTTGGTTTTTAGGAGCTCACAATAGAGGTATCTCCCATACTAACCCATGCTTACCATTATTTAAGGAGTAAAAGATCTCCAGAGGATGCCTGATTTGTTGCTTTGGTCATCCTGTCCACGTTCTCAGAAGCTGCACTTTTTTCTGAGTAGCTTTTTGAAGTTAAAGCTATTTTCAGATGAAACAACTATGGTTTATAGCCACACCTTTCTTTCCCACATCCTCAGTCTAGTAGTGCTCAGTGTTTCTAGATACTGAGCAGGCTCCTATTATCCAAAAAGGTACACCTCCATGACCTTGCTGTCTTATCCTTTAATTAATACTTGCTAATTTCCAAGGGTGCCAATTAGTTTTAGCTCATTAATTACAGCTAACTTAGGTAATAAGCCAAGGATTGCACACATCTGCTTCGCCACTCAGGTTCACTGACCACGTGAGTTCTTTGATTTTCCTCCCCCTGGGGCTTCTTGGTACCCAGGTCAGGCTCTGTGAGAATCTCAGGCTGTTCATCACTCTCCATCCTCCTCCTGGCACTGTCAAAGGGATGTCTTTTGTTTCTCAAATATGGTCAGAACAATAACTGAGTTGTGGAGTGAAAAGCCGGGGTACATTTATTGAGGTAA